TGAAATGAATGTATAAGAAAAGTCAACAATTAGTCTTCTTTGAAATGAGGCTGGTAGTTTTTACCCTCAGCAATTAGACCTGATTCCCTCCTGACTCTGGAAGTTTCTGGAGCGGGGCAAAGTGGCAGAGTCCGTCTTCAGCATCACCCTTCTTTCCCAGGATAAGCCAAGCTGGTGCCATGCCCATCACACACTAGACTCTCCTAGAAGGCCTTGCCCACCTATGAAGCTTGCGTTTACCAGGAGCAAGACTCTAGACTTTACTCCTGAGGGCAAGGGGGAGCCATTGGCCCTGGAACCATCCACTCTTAGCCTTGTCTTCACATTCCTGAGACTGGTAGCATAACCTTGCTGGGACCAAGAGAAAAAGATTCAATCAGGTAGAAATTGTAGGTGGAAGCTAGAGGGAGAAGGAAATGGGCAGAATGGAGGGGTAAATACAATCCTACTGCCAGGGCTGCCCAAGTGTGCACCTCAGCCCCTGCACAGCAACCTTGCCCATCTCTTTAATCATCGTGACTACTCTCCACGCCTCACCCCATCAGGTACTTATTAAGTACTCACTGGCACAGATACTGTCACCTGACTCTTCCTGAGGTTTGGAAGTCCAGTTCTGCTCCCTACAATATTGTTTTCAGAAAGGCGAGATTGCTAAGGCAGCTGCATTTCCCATGATGTCATGACTAACTTACACATGTCTCAGTGATGTATCGTCCAACCACAATTCCAGTACAAGTCTGAAAGTCTTGTAACTCTTTTCTTTAAAAATACTTTCTCAGGCTGGGTGTGGTGGCTCACGCCTGTAATCTTAGCTCTTTGGGAGGTCAAGGTGGTTAGATTATTTGAGCTTAAGGGTTCAAGACCAGCCTGAGGAAGAGTGAGACCCCATCTCTACTAAAAAAATTTTTAAAAGTAGCCAGGTGTTGTGGCGGGCGCCTGTAGTCCCAGCTACTCAAGAGGTTGAAGCAATGGGATTGCTGAACTCAAGAGTTTGAGGTTGCTATGAACTATGACAGCCTGGTACTCTGCCCAGGGCAACAGAGTGAGACTGTGTCTCAAACCCCAACTCCCCAAAACAACAAAAAAAATACTTCCTTGTTTTTATTTGAACGGCAGAAAAAATATCTAAAAAACTAAAAAAAATCCCCCAAAACAAAGACCATAAGGCTAGATAGCAGTTGGCTACTAATGCCTGAAATAATTATCATTAGAGATTATTTCTGTGGGTCTAAGAAGTCTTTGGGTGGATGAGAGACCACCATTACCAGTTCAATCTTTGGCTACCACCTTGACCTTTCAGCTCCACTGCTGACAAGCTAAGAGGTGCTCTGGGTGAGTAAGGCACCACTCTGGATTCTAAGGAGCCCTGTGTTCTAGTTGGGAGAAGACTGTGTTGAGAGCTAAGGGGAGGAGAAAAGGAGGACAAGGTAATAAGACTGTTGTAATAATCCAACAAAAGATAATGGTAACTTGTACAGGATGGTATTTTAGATAGGTTTTCAAGGTAGAATTTGCAGATAGATCAGATGTGAACCATAAAGAAGTCAAGGATGACTCCAAGATATTTTATCTGAGCAATTGGAAGGATGGAGTTGTGATTTAAGCAGAAGACTATGGAAGGGGAGGGGAGGAGGGGTGGTCAATCTGGAATTTGGCTTTGGACTTACCTTAATATGCCTGTAGACCCCTCCAAGGGGAGATGTCAAGTGACTGGATAAATATGTTATATGTCTGGACTTGAAAAATCTGGGGTAGAAATGTAAGTTTGGAAGTTGCCAGCATATAGATAGTATTTAACACCATGGGACTTAATGAGATTGCCAAAGGAAAGAATGTGTATGTTGAGAAGAAAAGAAGCCCAAAGACTAACCTGGAGCATTGCAGAGTACATAGGTCAGGAGGGATGGTGGGAACCAACAAGGAACTAATTTCTGGGTTGCCAGTCAGATAGGTGGAGAATCAAGAGAAGAGTGGGCCTGGAGGCCAAGTGAATATATTATAATGTTCCGGAAAGAGTAAGAGATCAATTGTGTCAAATTCTTCAGTTAGGTTGGGTAGTAGAGGTCATTGCTAACCTAGTGCAGAGTCAGTACTCCGTGAATGAATGAATGAGCATAACTTTTCCTCCAATTGTATTTGATCAGGACCCAAGAGCTCAGGGACTTTGTTTCTCCAGGAAGGGTTGGTGAATTTGATAAAAGACTGTAGAGTTATTTGAATTTAATAAATTTCCCCTTAGTGTCTAAATTCCTCCTGAGAGTCGTAAGGGTTGAGAAATTTCACAAAGTTCCCAGCGTCTGGAAGGCAAGTGGTCTAGAATTGCCTGTGGTCATTTCTCTGTACAGTTCCACACAGCCTTATCACACACTAATCCCTTCAGGGTGAAGGAATCATCAACACCTAAGAAACAAATACTTGTCCTCAAGGCAAATTCTACTTTGAAAACCTGTCTAAAGTTACAGAGAAATACCTATACACTGACTCAAGGAAGTGTAGAATTGTTCAGGTTCCTAGAAGTAGCCATATTCTTGAGATAATTAACTGATAGCATTGTTCAATAAAATCTTTGCTTGGAAATTTTGATGATTCAAAGCATTTTCCCAGGGACTATCAGTGAAAACTTGAATTGAAACTTGCCTGATACATTTTCCTCTTGAAAGAGGAAGATTCTACTTACTTTGAAGGCAATCATTCTATAATTGCTCTCTTTCTTGGGTGCTGAGAGATCCCCTACGAGATATGGCTGCAACTAAAAAGAATTGTTTCATCTGCTAGACAGCTTTTTCTGCCCACTCTTGTCTGTACATATTGGAAGAATTTTTTGTTTTTTTTGAGACAGAGTCTCACTATGTTGCCCTCTGTAGACTGCCTTGGTGTCACAGCTCACAGCAACCTCAAACTCTTGAGCTTAAGCCAGTGGTTCTCAACCTTCCTAATGCTGCAACCCTTTAATACAGTCCAAAGGGGTTGCCACGCACAGGTTGAGAACCGCTGGCTTAAGCGATTCTCTTGCCTCAGTCTCCCAATTAGCTGGGACTACAAGCAACCACCACAATACCCAGCTATGTTTTGGTTGTAGTTGTCATTGTTTGGCAGGTCCCGGGCTGGATTTGAACCCGCTAGCTCTGGCGTATGTGGCTGGCGCCCTAGCTGCAGAGCTACAGGCGCTGAGTCGAGAATTTATTTTTTTAAATAGTCCATTTCTGTTATCCAGACAGCAATCCCCCCATTTTCTTGGCATGTTCAGGGGCATTTGCTTCTCTTCCTTTTTAGCCATTTATTCCCCTGCTCTTGTGAGCTCTCTGTAAGAGCATGGGTAAGGACAGAATACCAAACCAGCCACTTAAGTAACTTCGCCGAAATGTTTTATAGGGGATATGGTTGAAACCACTGGCTAACACGACATTTTATACAATGTTGTCTTCCTGAATAAATCTGGAAATCACATTAAGTTCAGTTAATTGGCTGCATGGTAGATTCAGCAAGAAGTCACACACAAGACACAGGCCCTTATCAGATGTAAGTTTCGTCATAGATACAGGCCATGGGATGGTGGTCATTTAGTTTGTGTTTATTCAGAAATTAATAATGGTCATTGGCAAGTGACTCACTAAACGTTGTTCTTCTAGGGATAATTGTGAACTCTCAGAACTGAAGCTTCTCAGGATTCTGCCTGGACTTATTCATTCTGGTCCCTGACCCTGGGAGGGAAACCTCTTTCTAACATGCCAGACAGATGCCCTAGTCCTTTGCTGTAAGCCCTGCAGAGAAGTGGTTCTCAGCTCCTAAGACTATAGCTGATCTCTGGAGCAACTCGAAACACATCTCGTCCTCTTCTACCAGCTAATCCTTCAAGTATCTGGAAACACATGCCTCTTCTCTGTTCCTCCAGTACCAATAGTCTAAATAGATAACGGTAACCTGTCTTTTGTTCTACCTTTTAAAAAAAGCAAGTAAAAGTAAGACATTACCAACATGATGCCGGCCCTGAGCACCCATCTCCTGTCCCACATTCCTCTTCTCCCCACCCTTCTCTCTGCTGATGTATTTATTTGGCCTACATGTGATCTGGAGGCTGAAGAGCCTGTCTTGGAAGCCTTTACAGTGCAGTCATTAATAGAAGAAAGTGACAATCAAAAGTCTGAACTACAGTGTGAAAAACCCCACACTGTACCCCAGAAGTGCATTAATGTACATAGTTACCATTCAATAAAAAAAAAAAAATGTCTGAACTATAGTTTGAATGTGATGGACATTTATTAACTGTTTTTACAATGTTAACTCTGGACAATTTTACCCGACCTTTCTAAGCTCCAAAGCTCCATTTCCTCCTCTGTAAAATCATACTTATTGCTCTGGTTGTTGAGCGGATTAAACAAGACAGTGCTCCTACTGTGTTGACACTGGCACTGAGAGTCGTCATTCCATTTAGCCTCCCCTGATCCACCTTCCAGAAGTGGCCTAGAAACAGGTGAAGAGGTCACAGCTGGTGGGCAGCAGAACAGAAACCTAACCCTAGCCCCCACCCTTCAGCTCCACGCTGCGCTTTCGTTGGAGTCTACAGCTGTCTGCCTTGTGTTTGCAGATCAAAACCTCATCCTGGGTCCCCGTGTCCACTACCGTGGGGAAGCCCTCTCTGTATCAGTTACCAACAGTAATTGCAGTGAGCTCCAATCTGACGGGAAGGTGAGGGAGTTTGACACTAGCTCTTCAGGAGTAATTAGAGGTTAAAGGTAGTTCAATGTAGGCATAGCCCAGACTGGGATGAACCCTGGGTCACAGCGTTCTTGCTGTTCGCATTCCAGTGCAGCCATCTCACTCGCCAGCCCCGCCCGCGGGCGGCTCCGGCAGCCTCCGAGACCCGGGCAGGTGCACGCGGCGCAGGGAGGGCCGGGCCAGACGGCCGGGGGCGGGGCCTGGCCGCTTGTTCCGCTCCCGGGGCGTGGCCTCCCGCAGGTGAGCTCAGCCACTCGGGTTTCCCTGAAACTTATCTGGCCCTGGGGAGGCGAGCGCAGAGGCTCGGATTAGCTGCAGGCGGGAGGTTGGCTTTCTCTTGGTGTGGCGAGCGGAGTTCCGAGTTTTGAATCAGTGGCGGCGGATCCCCGCCCGCCCGGCGTGGGGGCTGCGGGGAACGATGCGCAGCCTGAGCGCGGCGTGGCTGCTGGCGGGTGCCATCCTGCTGGCAGCCTCTGTCTCCTGCAATCGCACCATCCAAGGTGAGAAACTTGGCCCAGGAGGGCTAGTCCTGCTGAGGAACATGCTGGTTAGGTGGTGGGAGCAGAGCAGACGCGCGGGGGTGTTCTGCCGGCACCACCGCCCCCCGCGCCCCTCAGTCTGCCCGGAGTGGCTTTGATGGGGCTCCCTGAGCCTAGGGGGCACCTGGTAGCACACCCAGAAGCAGCAGAGCCCGGGGGAGGCCAAGAGGCCCCTGAAGACCCTTTTACCGGAGAGGATCTCACGCTGGCCACCTCCAACCCCCATGGGGGCTGAGGGGAGGGAAGGAAGGGATAACCGGTGTCTAGCGGGTACCCAGAGGACTGGGTCTCCTCCCCCGGGTTGGTGTCTTTGTAAACACTCAGTCGTTAGGAGCTTTTCACAAGCCCGGCGACTTCCTCCGGCAGGTCCTGTGGGGCTCCAGGAGTTGGCGAGTAGACGGTGCTAGGCAGGGTGGAAGAGGTGGGAATCCGCAGCCCGGGAACCTTTCGCGTCCTGTTTTGCGGTCCCCTCCAAACCACTGGAGCCCCTTCTTTGGGTGCTGCCCACGGCTAGGCGTTCCGGACTTCACCCGGGGCCTGCAGGTCCTGGCACCCACGGTGCACGGCCGGGGTTGAGAGTCAGGGCGAGACCCTACGAGGCTCTCCTGGTAACCAGCGCTCAGCCTCGGGTTTTAGGCCGGTTGTTGGTCACGTTGGTTTACGCGTGGAACTTCTTGGACCTGCTTTGTACTTAACTAGGCAACCTTCCGGCTTTGGGACTGGTGGCCGTACAGATCTACAGTCCAGAGGCTGCCAGTCCTGGGCAGGGCGCAGGTGCCTGCTTGTGCCCGGCCGCGGCGGTGTGCAGCTCCGGGGTGCCCAGGCTCGTCCCGTCGGCCCGTCGGCCGTGCATCTCGGGGGCCAAGCAGGCCTGGGTCGCCCTACTGTGATGCTGAGACCTCTGGGCAGCCTGGGTGGTAGCATTAAAAGGGAAGTTTTAACTTCCCTGCGGAATTTGCAGACCTGTCGTAAAAGGCATTTCTGATTTTTACCTTCCTCTTCATAAAGACGAAGTAAAAGAGCAATCCCCAGGTTCAGCACCTATAGCTCAAGCAGCTAAGGCGCCAGCCACATACACTAGAGCTGGCGGGTTCGAATCCAGCCCCAGCCTGCCAAACAAAAATGACGACTACAACCGAAAAATAGCCGAGTGTTGTGGCTGGGCGTCTGTGGTCCAGCTACTTGGGAGGCTGAGGCAAGAGAATCCCTCAAAACCCAGGAAGTTGGAAGTTGCTGTGAGCGGTGACGCCGTGACACCCTACCCAGCACTACAGTTTGAGTCTCTGTCTCAAAAAAAAGAGCAAACCACAGTGAATTGGAATTGTAATGGGAATTCTTTTCCCTCTGGAATTACAGAAAAGGGTGTTAGTGTGTAAGCCTAAACTGTGCACCTCTGATATACATTTTATTAATCTGAATAAACAGTTTCATTTCGGTGAACTATTGAAAACTGCAATTGACCCCTCTCTATTTGCCTATGTCTTTTTTTTTCTTTTTTTGAGACAGAGTCTCAGTATGTCATTGTTGGTGAAGTGTCATGGCATCACAGCTCAAAGGAACCTCAAACTCTTGGGCTTAAGCAATTCTCTTGCCACAGCCTCCCAACTGGTTGGGACTACAGGCTCCCGTCACAACCACGGGCTATTTTTTGGTTGGAGTTGGGTGTATGTGGTTGGCGTCCTAGCTGCTAAGCTACAAGAGCTGAGCCATTTGCCTGTCTTTTAAACTTAAAAAATAAAATATGTGGGTGTAGATGCTTCAACGCTTTTGTCCAGATAGTCCCCATAGGAAGCATTCCTAATTATTTGGCTTGTTCTTACAAAGTGAGAGACTGGAGATATAGAGATCCCTGAAGTATAAAGGTGAACCTGATTTAACAATAATAAAAAAAAAATTCCAGTTACTTGTTAACCAGAGCTATTTAATATTGCACTTTGTTCCTGATCCCCGCCCTCCAACTTTTTATTCCTTTGCAGGGTGACAACTCTCTAAAGAGTTAAGTACCATTGACACTTTGGGTAGATGGAGCTAGCTTTCCTCCCAACTTGCAACTAAATTGATTTGGATCAGAAATAGAGCAACAGTAAAATCTTTCCGCCCCTCAGCTAGGTCTTTGCTATTCCCTTTTCAGCTTGTCCTCCCTTTGCTACAGGGCAGATACTGAGTCTAACTTTCTTCCCAAACTAAAAGCCTGTCTTGCAGAAAGGAATTCAGCCTAGAATACAACCTGTCACTTTATAAGTGGGAGATACTGACTTTGTCAGGGAGCAAGGAAGGAAAACTGTTAGGCCCCACCCCCTCCTTCTTTCCTCCTACAGTAGTAATTGATGTTATTTGCATCAATATGTTCAATCTGTGTACCCACTGCGTTGGAAAGTCCTGGAAGCTGGGACCCCACCATCGTCTCCATTGCCACATCTAGCACAGTCTCATCACCTAAGGGACCTCAGTAAGTAGCAAGTGAAGAATGGAGTGAGGAGACCTGATAGAGTGTGACCTGGCTAGTTGAAGGCACTGTGGCATTGAAGCAGCTTATAATTGGTATTTTAATTATAGAAGTAATATGTGATCATTATAAAGGGAAAATGAGCATAAAAATGAAAATAAGAGAGAAAGAAGAAAGATTGAACTAAATCACCTTCAATCCCTAAAGTAACAACCACTAACATTTTGGTTTATATCTTTCCTATACTTTCATACATCTGTGCATAAAATATGTACTCACAAATACAGAATAATATATAAGCTTATATATATGTGGGTCATTATGAAAGGTTTTTTTGTTTGTTTGTTTGTTTGTTTTGAGACAGAGTCTCACTTTGTTGCCCTTGGTAGAGTGTTATGGCATCACTGCTCACAGCAACTTCAAACTCTTGGGCTCAAGTGATCCTCTTACCTCAGCCTCCCAAGTAGCTGGGACTACAGGTGCCCGCCATAATGCCTGGCTATTTTTAGAGGTGGGGTCTTGCTCTGGCTCAGGCTGGTCTGAACCTGTGAGCTCAAGCAGTTCACCTGCCTTGGCCTTCCAGAGTGCTAAGATTATAGGTGTGAGCCATTGTGCCCAGCCCTGAAAGTTTTGAAATACACAAAAATGAAGAAAAATAAAATCCTTGATGGAAATAAGTGAAGCTCTCCCAGCAATACCAATAAACTGAGCGAGTTGAAACTTGCATGGGTGAATCAGAATGGATGCTGTCAACTGTGTTTCTTAGAAATACAATCATGGACCATAACAAAGTCTGTCTCAAAACTTTCATAGTGGCTCAGCGCCTGTGGCTCAAGCGGCTAAGGCACCAGCCACATACACCTAAGGTGGCGGGTTTGAATCCAGCCCGGGCCTGCCAAACAACAATAATGGCTGCAACCAAAAAATAACCGGGCATTGTGGCGGGCGCCTGTGGTCCCAGCTACTTGGGAGGCGGAGGCAGGAGACTCGCTTGAGCCCAGGAGTTGGAGGTTGCT